CAGCCAACAGCAGGGCTGGGGTACAGCACGGGGCACAGCCACAGCAGGCTGGGCAAGTGCAATGGGCAAGCAGCCAACAGCGGGGCTGGTGGGGTACAGCACTAGGCACACAGCCAACAGCAGGCTGGTAAAGAAGCACTGGGCACAGCCAACAGGTACAGCACTGGCACAGCCAACAGCAGAGCTGGTGGGTGAAGACTAAAGCACAAGCAGGGCTGGTGGAGTACAGCACTCAGTGAAGGAGCCAACAGCAGGGCTGGGTGGGAAAGAAGGCACCAGGCACAGCCAACAGCAGGGCTGGTGGGTGGCAGCACTGCAGCAGGACTGTGTACAGCACACAACAGCAGATGGTGGGGTACAGCACTGGCACAGCCAACAGACAGGGTGGAGTACATATTCAGGCCTGGCAGGACAGGGGGTACAGCACTGGGCACAGCAATAAAGAGCTGGGGGGTACAGCACCGGGCACAGCCAACAGCAGGTTGGTGAGCACAGCACTAGGCATGCCAACAGCAGCACAGGCACAGCACTAGGCACAGCCAATGTGGCTGGTGGGGGCAGCACCAGCACAGCCAACAGCAGGGTTGCCAGGGCAGCACTAGGGCACAGCCAACAGCAGGCTGGTGGGGCACAGCACTGCTAAGCACAGCCAATGCGAAATGGTGGGTGCAGCACCAGGTACAGCTGGGCCAGCAGGGCTGGTGGGGTACAGCACTGCTATTGGGTGCCAACAGCAGGTACTGGTTAAGCACTGGCACAATGAAAGGGCTAGGGCACAAAACACTAGGGGTGCACAGCCACAGCAGGCTGGTAAGTACAGCATCAGCACAGCAGGGCTGGTGGGGCACAGCACTGGGCACAGCCACAGCTGGGTGGGGCACAGCACTGGGCACAGCCAACAGCAGGGCTGGGGGGTACAGCATCAGGCACAAGCTACAGCAGGGCTGGTGGGGCAGCACTGGGCACACAACAGCAGGCTGTGGGCACAGCACTGGGCAAACAGCTAACAGCAGGGTATATACTAGGCACAGCCACAGAGGGCTAGTGGGGTAGCAGACAGGCACAGCTGGCCAGCAGGCCAGGGGTACAGCACTGGGCACAGCTACCAGCAGGGCTACAGGGACAGTACTGGGCACAGCCACAGTGGCTGGTGGGGAAACAGCACTGGGCAATAATGGGAAGTGGGGCTGGTGGGCAAGGAAGAATAGCCAGCCAGCAGGGTAAGTGCTGTTGTTCATGCTGTTTGCCCAGCAGGCTGGTGGGGCGGCTGCACTGGGCACAGCCAGCAGGGCTGGTGGGGCACAGCACAAGCACAGCCACAGTGGGGCCAGGGGTATGTTACCTTCTGGCACAGCCAACAGCAGGGCTGGGGGTACAGCACTCAGGGGCACAGCCAACAGCGGGGCTGGTGGGGGTACAGCACTAGGGCACAGCCAACAGCAGGGCTGGGGTATGGTGCACTAGGCACAGCCAACAAAGGGCTGGGGTACAGCACTGGGCACAACAAGGGGGAAGCAAAGCAGCACTGCACAGCCAATGCGGGGCTGGTGGGTACAGCACCGGGCACAGCTAACAGCAGGGTTAGTGGGAAGCAGCACTGGGCAGCCAACAGCAGGGTTGGTGGGGGTACACACTGGGCACAGCCAGCAGGGCTGGTGGGGCAGCACTAGGCACAGCCACAGCAGGGTTTTGGTGGGGTACAGCAACTAGGCACAGCCAACAGCAGGGGGTTGTGGGCACAGCACTGGCACACAGCCAAAGTGGGGCGGGTGGCATAGCACCGGGCACACAACAAAGGGGGCTGGGGTACAGCACTGGGCACAGCCACAGCAGGGTTGGTGGGTGGCTACACTAGGCACAGCCAACAGGTGGGGCTGGTGGCACAGCATCAAAGACAGCCACAGCAGGGCTGGTGGGGTACAGCACCGGGCAAGGAGCCAACAGCAGGTTGGTAAAGCAGCACTGGCACAGCCAACAGCGGGGCTGGTGGGGTACAGCACTGGCACAGCCAACAGCGGGCTGGTGGGGAAGCAGCACTGAAAGGCCAACAGGTGGGCTGGTGGGAAGCAGCACTGCAGCCAACAGCAGCTGGTGGGGGCACAGCACTGGGCACAGCCAACAAAAGGGCACAGCACTGGGCACAGCCAAGGGGCTAGTGGGGCAGCATTCTGGGCACACAACAGTGGGGCTGGTGGGCAGCACTAGGCACAGCCAACAGCAGGCTGGTGGGGTACAGCACAGGCACAGCCAACAGGGGCTGTGCAGCAGCACTGGGCACAGCCAAACAAAGGGCTGGTGGGGTACGCACAGCCACAGCAGAGCAGCAGCACTGGGCACAGCTAACAGTAGGAAGCAGGGGCAAGGTACTGGGCACAAGCTAACAGTGGCTAGCAGCACTGGCATAAGCTAACAGTAGGTATGGTACAGCACTGCTACAGCCAACAGTAGCTGGTGGGGTACAGCACTGGGCACAGCTAACAGCGGGGCTGGTGGGGTAGCAGCACAGAGAAGGAAGTATGAGCACTCAGGCAATACTACCGAAAGTGGCTGGGGCACAAGACAGGCACAGCCAACAGCAGGCTGGTGGGGCACAGCACTCAGGCACAGCCAACAGCGGGGCTGGTGGGGCACAGCACCGGGCACAGCCAACAGCAGGGTTGGTGGGTACAGCACGGGGCACAGCCAACAGCAGGGCTGGTGGGGTACAGCACTGCTATGCCAACAGCAGGGCTGGTGGGCACAGCACTAGGCACAGCCAACAGCAGGCTGGTGGGCACAGCACTCAGGCACAGCCAACAGCGGGGGCCAGGGCAGCACTAGGCACAGCCAACAGCAGAGCTGGTGGGGTACAGCACTGCACAGCCAACAGCAGGCTAGGGGGTACAGCACTGCCACAGCCAACAGCGGGGCTGGTGGCAGCACTGTGTTGCCAACAGCAGGGCTGGTGGGGCATGCAGCACTAGGCATGTCAACAGCGGGCTGGTGGGCACAGCACTAGCACAGCCAACAGCGGGGGCTGGTGGGGTACAGCACTGGGCACAGCCAACAGCGGGGCTGGTGGGGTACAGCACTAGGCACAAAGCCAACAGCAGGGCTGGTGGGGTACAGCACTGGGCACAGCCAACAGTGGCTGGTGGAGCACAGCACTGGGCACAGCCAACAGTAGGGCAAGGCACTCAGGCACAGCAGGGGCTAGGGTACAGACCAAAACAAGCAACAGCAGGGTTGGTGGGGGCAGCACTAGCACAGCCAACAGCAGGCTACAGGTAAGCAGCACTGGGTACAGCCAACAGCAGAATGCAAAGTGCCAGCACTGGGCACAGCCAACAGCAGGCTGTGGGCACAGCACTAGGCAGCTGGTGCCAACAGCGGGGCAGGGGGTACAGCATCAAGCACAGCCAACAGCAGGGCTGGTGGGGTACAGCACTAGGCACAGCCAACAGCAGGCTGGTGGGGGGTACAGCACTAAAGGACAGCCAACAAAGCGGGCTGCAAAATAAGCACTACAACAGCAGGGCTGGTGGGTGCAGCACTAAGGCACAGCCAACAGCAGGTTGGAGTGTGTACAGCACTGGGCACAGCAAATGAAGGGCTAGGGCACTGGCACAGCCAACAGCAGGGCTGGTGGGTACAGCACTGGCACAGCCAACAGTAAGGAAAAGCAGGCACAGCCAACAGTAAAGCCAGGGGTACAGCACTGCAGCCAACACAAGGGGCAGACTGGCACACAACAGTAGGGTTGGTGGGTATAGCACTGGCACAGCCAACAGCAGGCACAGCATCAGCACAGCCAACAGTAGGCTGGTGGGGCAAGCACTGGCAACAGCCAACAGCAGGGCTGGTGGGAAGGCATTCAAGGCAGCCAACAGCGGGCTGGTGGGGTATTAAAGAATCAAGCACAGCCAACAGCAGGGCTGTGTGGGCACAGCATCTGCACAGCCAACAGCAGGCTGGTGGGTACAGCACTAGGCACAGCCACCAGCAGGGCCAGGCACAGCAACAAACACACAGCAGGTTGGTGGGTACAGCACTGGGCACAGCCACAAAGGGCCAGGCACAGCACTGGCACAGCCAACAGTGGGGCTGGTGGGCAGCACTAGGCACAGCCAACAGTAGGGCTGGTGGGGTACAGCACTAGGCACAGCTAACAGCAGGGTTACAGGGCACAGCACTGGGCACAAAATAACAAGGGGCTGGTGGGGTACAGCACTAGGCACAGCCAACAAAGGGGCTGGTGGGGCACAGCACTCAGCACAGCCAACAGCAGGGCTGGGCTGGTGGCAAGCAAAGCACTAGGCACAGCCAACAGCAGGGCTGGTGGGGTACAGCACTAGGCACAGCCAACAGCGGGGCTGGTGGGGTACAGCACCGGGCACAGCCAACAGCAGGGCTGGTGGGGTACAGCACTAGGCACAGCCAACAGCGGGGCTGGTGGGGTACAGCACCGTTCACACAATTTTCATAGAGATGATAATGAAACACACATATAATGATGGTTGTCTGAAATCGTTAACTACTTGCAATTTGCTTTTGCAGCACAACTTCTAACTCTAATAAGAAAATTTTGCACTGATCCAGTCAATTAACGCCATCACATAATGAAGTCAAGACTGCACTCGTTGACACTTCTCCCAGTTCAGTTTGAATGATAGTTCAGGTAGTTCGTTTGAAAAGCTCATGGGCTGGGTAACAGGAACTGGCTTCTATGGGTGCGTAAAAAAATTTAACTTTGAAACAGAGGAAGCGATTAACCTCTGTGCTAAGGAATTTAATGAGGCTTGGTTCAGATTTAGCACGACACCATTTCTGGAATTTCTGTGCGTGAAGAAGACGTTTACAAAGTGTCTAGGGATTCAGTAATCACCTTCATACCTTCTTCGCGCGCGCGCGCACACACACACACACACACACGTCTCCAAAAAATTGTGTCGTGACAAATTCGAACCGCTGAACCGCCCTTTCCCTGGTGCCCCCTTGTAGTAATTTGTGACTGTCTCCAGGTGCAAGCCTCTGACAATGACGGCGACTCTCCCAACAACATGTTCACTGTATCGGTAGAGGATTGTCCCTTGGAGGCCACGGGGGAGTATGGCGGTGTGGCTGGCAAGCCCTATAACATCAAGTTCACCCTCAAATCACCACTCGATTTTGAGAAGACCAAGAAGTACACCTGCACCATCATAGCCAAGGTGAGTCGCTACAGATAAAGGATGTCACTAAGATGTCGAGTTATTCATAAGATAATCTCAAATATAGCGCCCTACTTCATCTGACTCAACTTACCACATCTGTGTACCTAATCTATCCTAAGCTTACCCGACGCAACCTAAAGTGATCTTACCTATCTTAACTTACTTTACCAGGATGCCGTCACAAGTTTATCTTCCTTAACCTACCCATAGCTTAACTCACCTAGTTTAATTTTACCTTACCATACTTAACCTAGATAACTCTTACCATATCTAACCTAGCTTAAACTTAATTTACATAACCTAGCTTAAACTTAATTTATCTAACCCTGTTTTCTTAATCAAGAACCGAAAATAACTCAGGTTTTTCGCAAGAATCATTCACTTCGTGTTGGTCACCCGGAGCAGTTTTAACCACCCAGCTTCCCAAAATACTGAGCTAATCATCTTATTGGATCTTACAGTGCTGAAGAGTAGAGGAATAAAGGTTCTTTTTATTTAATTGTGGCTCAGTGAGATGGCGGAGTAATTAATGATTTATCTTTAACACAGCAAGTGAAGACAATCGCTTAGCCCTTTGAAGATGATTATTTAACCCCTTAAGGAAGATGGTTAAACCCCTTGACGACGATATTTTAACCCGTTAAGGATTATGGTTTAAATCTGATGAAAAGGATGATGGTAGTGGTTTAACCCTTTGAGGATGATGGTAGTGGTTTAACCCTTTGAGGATGATGGTAGTGGTTTAACCCTTTGAGGATGATGATGATTTTATGGAATTATAAGTTGACGAAGTGTTGTTAATGCCCAATTGCAACACACAGTGGTTTTCTTCAAAGGCGAATCACTGTCTTCTAAATCAACATTAACTGAGGCTCTAACATCATCAAGCAACAGATAATCTTCCTGCTTTAATTATCAATCATTGATTCGTCTATGTTACTTAACTACTTCATTACCGTGTATTTTTTTATAATCCTGAACGATTCTTTTTGGGGAACGTGTGTGTGTGTGTGTGTGTGTGTGTGTGTGTGTGTGTGTGTGTGTGTGTGTGTGTGTGTGTGTGTGTGTGTGTGTGTGTGTGTGTGTGTGTGTGTGAAGATGTTTACAGTCTGATTATGGACCTAAAACTCGGTGCCATACCAACTTAATGTGTAATAATAAATTCAGGTATGTTAAGGAGATATGCTCAAGAGTTCAAAGTTCTCATAACACGGATGTTATGTCACACAGACACACTATAAAAATATGCAATTCCCAAACTCAGTATCGTCCCAATTTTGAATTCTTTAAATGACCTCAATTTTAAGATAGTTCTACACCTAATATAACAATCTCATTAAACTATCCTAGTCTAAACTAACCTAACACAACATATGTACCGTACCTGGTGTGCTTACTTTAATCTAATCTAACCTAACCTAACCTAACTTAACCTTAACCCCCAACAGGATAAGGGAGCGACGTCGTTGTCATCAGATTCGGCGACCATCAGTATCACTGTAATAGACATGCCGGACGAGGCCCCCGTGTTTACCAGCGACTTCTACAGTGCCGACGTGGACTCATCTTCCGTGAGTCTCCTTACACTGTTTGCCCCCCCCCCCCTCCCCATTCTCGAGTCCCTAGTTAAAACGGAGGATACTTCTAGGGGAAATCCGATACTCAAGGCGTTGGGTAACTTGTGATCAAACGGGATGTAAAACTTTATTATACACAAGTCCAGGTGTTTTGTGGCCATCTGCATGACGAATGATTCATCTCGTCGGCGAAAAACATTAAAATCAAGGGATTTTTTTTTAAGTGCCTTATCATTGTAGTATGTGAGTTTTGCTTGGTAATATAACAATACAGACCTATGCTGGCTGCAGTATATTTCACATTAAGGGATGTAAATGAGTAAATGCTTGTTCATATTTACTGGCTTCCATTAAGGTCCTTTTATTAGCCCGAGGGACTAATAGACAAAACATATAAGTTTGAGGCTGCAAGAAGGGCTACACTGTATCTAGAATAAGAATATCCGAGACTGGTAACTCACTTCCACAATGCAACATTCACTCGTTAGAAATCAGATTAAAAACAAGATATAAAAAAGAAACTGAAAATTAATTATGTAGAAGAGCTCTTGTCACTTAAGTCATGACTCACCTGCTCGTAAACCTGTGGCACCATCCCAGTTCACCAAGCCTTATTCTGAGAGCCACTTGGAGCTTTCTAAGTTGACTGAGGTTAATGTTTTAATAATCTTACTACACTTCAACTACTAAGGTGTTTAAGCACGTTACAAGATTAATATTACACTAGCCCAACTTTACTTATCTGGAAATTATGTCTTCAGTAAAGGTTAAGAATTACTACGGTACCGACAATCACTTAATAAGACATAATACATAACCCCTGTACTGCTATACACTACAGCATTTTTCATTATTGACGACGCACGAAGGTCAATAACTGGCATTTTCCAATCTGAAGTGACAGCTGTAAAACATAAACTAAGAAATATAGAACACATGACTTAGGAAACACTACTGTACTTTGAGTTCGATCATTCACTACCGACACTCGACACAGTGAATGATCGAACTCAAAGTGAATGTCTCCTACGTCATGTGTTGCTATATTTGTCAGTTCACGTTATACAACTGTCGATTCAGATTGCAAAATGCCAGTTATTGGCTTTCATCAATAACTGAAACACTGTCCATTCGGGCCAAAATATGACGCAGTATATCTAATATTTCTTAGCGTTTGGTCAACCTTTTCAGATAGTAGTGAGTGGTTCAGTGGTCAGGTCGCGGCTTCAGAAGTGTAAAAAAAAATCTTATCCCCTTGTCTCTCGTCACTAATGATATGGGCATCCCATACTGAGACAGTAACAAGGGTGGCAATTTCTCTGCTGTACTGGGAGAGGCAGGAAACCATAACAAAAACTATTATCTTAAGTGACCAATAGGCTCGCTGCAATCTCCCCCATTCTTTGTTCAGTCATTAAGTCAGTCAGTAATCAGTCTGTTAGCAAAAATAATCTTAGCGGGTCGTTCACTCATTAAGTCAGTTTGTCAATCACTCAGAAAATACACATTACTGGTCGACTAAAAATATTATAACAAGGAGGAATGACTTGTATAATGTGTTCAGCCCTCAGACGATGCCTTAGTTACGGTGCCTGAACCCATCAGCGCTACGGACGGGGACAAGGACATCAATTCCCCCATCACCTACACCATGAAGGACGCCCGCAGTGACAGTAAGATAAACATACACCTCATAATAATGTACAGTTTCCTCTAATGCTATGACACTTATTGACGATAAGATGCAATAAACGTCAATTTATATCTCAGTATTTATATTACATATTTCAGGAGTTCACAATTGTCAATATATTGTTTTGGGAACCAGTGTGTGTGTGTGTGTGTGTGTGTGTGTGTGTGTGTGTGTGTGTGTGTGTGTGTGTGTGTGTGTGTGTGTGTGTGTGTGTGTGTGTGTGTGTGTGTGTGTGTGTGTGTGCTTAATATACTGTAGCTGTCAAGCCAAATTTGCACCCACATAAAAACACTGAATCCCAAATCATTGTGTTGACATTGAACCTCTGATATGAACAAGCAGTTATAGAGCCCAACTAACAGATGACTAATGATGGGTTTGTGTTGACGTTAAGTTCCAGGAACAAATTACTTCAGCATCGATGAGAAGACGGGCGAGGTGAGGGTTACAAGGGAGCTGGACCAAGACATCCTGGTTAACGTTTGGGTCAGCTTCATCATCACGGTGAGTCTATTGTGTAACTCAAGTTTTGTTCTCATCATGCAATAGTATAGTGTCTGATGAGGGAAAGGGGGGGGGGGTATAGTGAGGTCAGGTGGTGGCTGGGGTGAAGTGGTGGTGATGGAGGCTTAGTTGAGGTGGTGGTGGTGATGGAGGCTTAGTTGAGGAGGTGGTGGTGATGGAGGCTTAGTTGAGGTGGTGGTGGTGATGGAGTCTTAGTTGAGGAGGTGGTGGTGATGGAGGCTTAGTTGAGGAGGTGGTGGTGATGGAGTCTTGAGGAGGTGGTGGTGATGGAGGTGAGGTGGTGGTGGTGATGGAGCTTAGTTGAGGAGGTGGTGGTGATGGAGTCTTAGTTGAGGAGGTGGTGGTGATGGAGTCTTAGTTGAGGAGGTGGTGATGATGGAGTCTTAGTTGAGGTGGTGGTGGTGATGGAAAGGATGAGGAGGTGGTGGTGAGAGTCTTAGTTGAGGTGGTGGTGATGGAGTCTTAGTTGAGGTGGTGGTGGTGATGGAGCTTAGTTGAGGGAGGTGGTGGTGATGGGTCTTAGTTGAGGTGGGTGGTGGTGATGGAGGCAGTTGAGGGGAGGTGGTGGTGATGGAGTCTTAGTTGAGGAAGTGGTGGTGATGGAGTCTTAGTTGAGGGTGGTGGTGGTGATGGAGGCTTAGTTGAGGTGGTGGTGGTGATGGAGTCTTAGTTGAGGAGGTGGTGGTGATGGAGGCTTAGTTGAGGTGGTGATGGTGATGGAGGCTTAGTTGAGGAGGTGGTGGTGATGGAGGCTTAGTTGAGGAGGTGGTGGTGATGGAGGCTTAGTTGAGGTGGTGGTGGTGATAGAGGTTTAGTTGAGGTGGTGGTGATGGAGTTTTAGTTGAGGTGGTGGTGGTGATGATACCATTCCCTTCAGGATAGGGGTGGTGGGGGTGGGGGGTGTAGGGTTATTCTCCCAGCTCAGTAACTTTAGATAGATTATTTAAATGGCCAAGGAATTTGTCAAGAAGTGCTGTACCATGAATATCTAGGTCATATTATCTAACCATTTTCAACTTTAATGTGTTAGTTTAGACATCTCTCACTTATGTCATGAATTTCTTATTTTTTTCATAATTACTTGCATTTTAATCAGTGATATTTTGCATAATCAGAGGTGCCTTGTGTTATTAACTTGTATAAACAGGAAGTACCACAATTCTGTTTTGAGGTACTAAACACAGGAGACTGTAAATGTGTTTAATTTTAAGGATACAGTGTTAGTTCTTCAGAAAATGATGGAAAATTAAATACATGGGAGGAGGCCTGCATTTTTGTGTCTTGGTAAGTGTAAGACGGGAAGAGGTGGGGTAATGTGTACTACAGAAGACCTGAGCCACCGTAAGCTTGACTTGCCATTATCTCCACTATGTCAAGCAGGGTAAGTTGTGTCAGTTCAGTACATCATTGGAATTTGTAGTAGTGGTGGCTTATGCTGGGTGATACAGCAATGTTGTACATAGGCTGCTGTAATGCTGTATGTGTCGGCTCAACCTTTAATATGTGTTTTAACCATCAGCAAAGTAGAGTAGCATCTTTTACTGACAACGTGGATATGGGCCTTTGTTTATACCAACAGTATCATTCTATATTTTCATCATGTCTGCTAAGAGAGTGTCAACAGACGTCAGATGGTTGGCCCTGAGTCGCGGCCCACAAAAAATTCTGTATAAATGCTAACCCAACCTGAGCCCAACAGAGACAGAATATTTACATTAGGTCTTATATAATCCTCCAACGAAAGTAATTAAAAGGTAGGTGTTGATATTTATGAATCATCTTAAGTATTTCTTTCTTCTTAAGAATATTACTGATTTCCTGCAATTGATTATTACCTTAATGGTTGACCAAACTGCATATATATTATCTTTTTGATAACTAATTATTAAAACTAGTATCTTATTTCCCTTGTACAGATCTGATTCACACGGTTTTCAAATAATTTTCTTTTCATTACCATTTAGTCGCTATCAAAGACACTTCTTACCTCCTCCTCGAGTAATTCTCATTCACTGTCGACATATCTTCGCCCACACACTGGCACAAGTCATCAGCTGTTTCAGTATACACTGCGCAAGTAATAGGTTTACAGTAGCCACCAGACCTCGGTAATAAAAGCCTTTTTATTATTTTAACTGTACTTTACTTTCACTATCTCTTCTACTCTTCAGTCATCTTGTTCACTACTTTAAACTCACAAAGAAGTTCTCACCTCCACGGTTACTAGCCATTATCTAAGATGTCAAAATCACACCCAGTGTAAATATTAAGTAAGATCACAAATCGCGATTCTGTAAGATGCATTCGGAGTAATTCTTCAGTATCATTTTGAATCTATAATGCTTAATTCACTTACTATACAGTGGACTACATCTAATTGAAAGTGGACAAACTGTTCCATTAATGTACAAACAAAATGCTGTGGGAAGGTGAAGACAAGTGCTACCACAGCACAGCAGGGATCATATTTTGTTGGACCATGATGTTTTGCTCCAAATATAAAATGATCTGGGTAATACATTACTGCATTATGACTCATTAACGCCGCGAAGGTGACGACCACCTCGTGTATTTTGTGCAAGCGAGTGAATAATATTACTAAAGTAAATCAATATTTTTCCTGGCTATAAATCCTTGACTTTTGCTCAATTGTTGTTAAATATTTTCGTGATCTTTGAGTAGATATACGACAATAGGGCGAGATTTATTGACAAAGAAATTCTCCAGGCACTTACACCACCGTAGTGAGGTGAAATATTGAGTGTGAACCATGTGCTATAATATACTGTACTGTGTATGTGTAGAACTGTACCACATGTGAGCGTTTCCTTGGACTCTTAACATAGCTACAAGACAAACAAATCACAAAAAAGTGCCCATGACCCAAACAAGACACAGGTAACCAGTGTCACATGAAACACAAACGTACAGGGACTACACGAAGAGAGTATGGTACGTCGGTTTCACATCCCGTTGAGGTCTCCTGCATACCTGGCACCTAGTAGATTTGTCTGTTCTACCTTTAACTTTTTGGTTACCTTCGTCACAACTCTCAACATCTACCTCTTTGGCTTCCTCAATCTTAGTAATGTATATTGGCTTCCTAATCATGATAACCTTAAGCTGGCTTCCTCAACCGTTTCTTCACTACAGCTACTGTACTTGTTAGCGGATTGGCTACCTCTTCACACCCACTTTAAATTGACATTCTGTTCATAGACATTGCAATGAAGGTTTATCCATTGACCCAACACAACCCATCCTCCATCCAAGCACCTCAAATTATATTATCAGAATAAGTCTTCAGATCTCTTTCACTAGACTGACAACCCTCCTCCCACCTTACTGTGGTCATCCCCAGGCTGCAGACAACAGTGGGGGAAAAAGTACCACCGTGCTGGAAGTTACCCTACCACCAGTACCCACTACTACCATCACAACCACCACCATCTCCACCAGTGAAGCCACCACCTGTCCCATGTGTACCTGTCCAACCACCGAGTTCACCTCAGAGGGCACCAGTACCCCCGGCCCTACCACCAGTGAGTGCCCCACCACTGAGCCCGTCGTCTGCACTACGGATGCCACCACCTGTGAACCTTGTACCACCACCGACCCAGGTGTCACAACGTCGTGTCCACCATGTTCCACCCTCTCCACCTGGTTATCCACTGTGCAGTCCTGTCCACCCTGTCCTACCACTACCACCCCAGGTACATCTCCCTCCTCCACGCCACCATCACCACATACAACAGATGGTGACACCACCTCTACCTCTTGCCCTACCACCACTTGCCCACCGTGTACCTCCCTCGTTACCGACATGCCCACATCCCCTACCACCACCTGCCCACCGTGTACCTCCCTCGTTACCGACATGCCCACCTCCACTACCACCACTTGCCCACCGTGTACCTCCCTCGTTACCGACATGCCCACCTCCCCTACCACCACCTGCCCACCGTGTACCTCCATCCTTACCGACATGCCCACCTCTCCCTCCTCTTGTCCACCGTGCCCTACCACAGACTCTTCTCTAGGATCGAGTCCCTCCACATCGCATAGTACTCAGGGTTTGTAATAACACATCATTTTCATGTTGCAGTTCCTTACCGTCTGTTTAATTTTTGAATGTGATCTAACAACTCAATCCATCCCAAACAACAACTCTTGGATAATTCGGGCGCTGGTGAACTGACCACAGCATAACAAGATGACAAGTCTGACTGCACTTTTAAGGCATTAGATGTCTGGTGTGTGCGTGTCTGTTTGTTTTTTATCTTGGTTAATACACAAAGGCAACAACACGTAGTCCGTCCGCCAACGTCTAACGTCAAGATGCATCCACACAAAATTCTATAATACATCTATAATCATGCGTGTTTCTCTCTCTAAAGCAGGTGTAATCTTGGCAGTATTAACTATAAAATTTGATTCTAAATGACAGGTGTTACTGATGGGTCCCACAAGTTACACATTCACTTACTAAATATCAGCAGAGTTCACTTAAATTTGTATAAAAGAAATAGTAATGCAAATAATACAATACTACCCATCGAAATATGAAATGGTCCAGATATTAGAGAGAAGAGAGAGAGAGAGAGAGAGAGAGAGAGAGAGAGAGAGAGAGAGAGAGAGAGAGAGAGAGAGAGAGAGAGAGTGAGAGAGAGAGAGAGAGAGAGAGAGAGAGAGAGAGAGAGAGAGAGAGAGAGAGAGAGAGAGAGAGAGAGAGAGAGAGAGAGAGAGAGAGAGAGAGAGAGAGAGAGAGAGAGAGAGAGAGAGAGAGAGAGAGAGAGAGAGAGAGAGAGAGAGAGAGAGAGAGAGAGAGAGAGAGAGAGAGAGAGAGAGAGAGAGAGAGAGAGAGAGAGAGAGAGAGAGAGAGAGAGAGAGAGAGAGAGAGAGAGAGAGAGAGAGAGAGAGAGAGAGAGAGAGAGAGAGAGAGAGAGAGAGAGAGAGAGAGAGAGAGAGAGAGAGAGAGAGAGAGAGAGAGAGAGAGAGAGAGAGAGAGAGAGAGAGAGAGAGAGAGAGAGAGAGAGAGAGAGAGAGAGAGAGAGAGAGAGAGAGAGAGAGAGAGAGAGAGAGAGAGAGAGAGAGAGAGAGAGAGAGAGAGAGAGAGAGAGAGAGAGAGAGAGAGAGAGAGAGAGAGAGAGAGAGAGAGAGAGAGAGAGAGAGAGAGAGAGAGAGAGAGAGAGAGAGAGAGAGAGAGAGAGAGAGAGAGAGAGAGAGAGAGAGAGAGAGAGAGAGAGAGAGAGAGAGAGAGAGAGAGAGAGAGAGAGAGAGAGAGAGAGAGAGAGAGAGAGAGAGAGAGAGAGAGAGAGAGAGAGAGAGAGAGAGAGAGAGAGAGAGAGAGAGAGAGAGAGAGAGAGAGAGAGAGAGAGAGAGAGAGAGAGAGAGAGAGAGAGAGAGAGAGAGAGAGAGAGAGATCTTGAATATATTTAAACATAATAAAACACAGGTCTGATGTGTCCCTCAGACCAGGCTAGATCCATTAGCATCCAAGCAAGAATTATTTTGAGTCAGTCCTTCAGTTAAAACTTGATAAACAACCTCACCCTTAATACCAGATGATAGTTGAACCTGTTGGGTCTAGCCTGATACACACACCCTTCAATACATAAGAGTCGTTTACTGTCACAATTGTCATATCCTGCTAAAGTTCCTTAAAGGTCAACTCCAGTCTAAAAGTACTCGTGAATATTGTCTACACGTTTCAAGTGCGATATTACCGACGTACCTTCACTCTCAAAGAACCAAGAAACACGCTTCCACTTTGTGAATATTTTATTGAAAACGAAAAGCTGCCGTAAAAACCTCTTAATGATTTCTTACCTAGTATAATTATGACGCCACTCAAAAGCGGGCGAAGAAAAGGCTACTCACAAATAGTCTTTAAAATGGTTCGTCTATTATGACTTTCGGCTTCATTCCATAAAGAGAATTATAACAAAATTGCATAAATTAAGAGCAACTATCAAAGTAATGTTAATCAACAAGTTGTAATATACAGTATTGCTTAATGCCTGGACAAATTAGTCATGCAAATGTCTTAGAAAAATATTCGATCCATAAATATACTGAAACAAATCTATACTAATGTGTTGTTGTTTTTGTGACGTTACACCTGAGGCTATACTCGTCTTTTCTTTTATTTTCACTTACTGTATTTCCAAACGGTTTGCTCTTAATAATATAAGGAAAACATTAACAAACTTTGGAAAATTAACTGAACTATGATAAGAAAACATACAAATATTACGTTTTTTATCCATTTTATGAAGAGACACGACAACAGAACCACTAAGAGAGAGTCTGGAGTTGACCTTCTGTATTTGTTACGTTACCAAAATCTGCCCGTCACCTTCCCTATGTGAGCCAGACCGGGATTTCCTTAATGTGATTTTTGATGGGCTTCTTTATGCTTTTTGCTCTTTTATATCATTAATTATTTTGTTTTACACTTTAAATCTTTCATTAATATTTACTTACATGACTTAAACACTTCATTTATCGTTTAAAAAATCAATAGTGAAGTTATTGATCATAAATCACCCAAAATTACTTTTCAGCTTCCTCCCACAGCCTACTTACCTCACCATCACACCAATCACAACCTTAGCCCTGAAACCTAAAGTGCAAGCAATGACACAGTACTCCCCCTCAACCCCACACTAACAACCTACCCTGTCTGCCCTACTGACAAAAATAAGACGACCTGTCTTGTATGTCCCACAGACGAAACAACGACTCCAAGTTCCCTCACCACCACTACCAATGGCCCTTTACAACCAAGCCTAAGCTTCGAGAAAGTTTCATATGCAGGGGAAATTTACCCCGAGTTTAAAAGCGTCTGGCAAGTTGACGTGGTCGTGAAAGTGGCCAACAAAAACGACGTACGCTTTTCTTGGGGTAAAATATATATATATATATAAATATTTGGTGTTCGTCTTTGCTTGCCTTTGGGGTGTTTTTGTCGGCGTTTCTATAAGCTGATGTGTCTGTGTATTGTGCACTGGGAGTAAGGTAACTTGTGACGTAAAAACTGTACTCAAGAACACTCATTACCTGAGCTCTGTCATCTACAGGTAAGTTTTCCATACGAATGATGTCCTACAGAGGACATAGCCTCTTCTATATGCATCTAAAACTTGGTTGCCCATAAAATAACATATTGATTTCAATGTTTCAAAATATACAACGCACAACCAATTAATGTTTAAAGAAATAACAAACATCCAGTTCACGACCTTCACATAAGAGATTTTTGGGTGACATTCATATTTACAGATCTTAGTAACCGTGAAGTAGGATCAGCCGTAACACATGGACAAATCATAATCGGGTTACTGCCCTAACAACACATCTTGTAACCAAAAATGTTGTTTACCATCACAGAACCATTGACCACAGCCTAGTTCTAGTCTTGAAACTACAACGTAAGACTTATCAGCCTAACATACTGTAGATCTGGTATTGAGATCAAGTGACAAAACAGTCTTGAATCTGACGATTGTTAATGCAACACTCGTCTTTACTGCTCAGTTAGTGGGAACATCTGATTACATTATGATATAATTAGAAAATTTTCGACTTTCTTCCTACGATCTTTTTAATACACGAAATGACGAAAGACTTGGTTCCTGTCACATCAAATTAAGAGGACTTTTGAACGGTAAGATATATTTATCGGTATTGTATGTCAGAATCATCTCTATGTTAATACGGCGCCGCTCCTCCTGTCGCCTCCTGTCAGGCTACAGACAACACCACCGCCTCCTCCAGTGTCACCCTTGATGTTGAGCTACCTTGGTTTGGGCATTACGACAACGACCTCCACTTCGAGCTGTACCGGTACGCTACAGTAGTCCTGGGTCCGACTAAGAACGAGGTCGTCCTGAGGGTTAGGGCCGTCACCAATACAACATATGAAGTCATCTACACCTTAAGTATAACTAGTTTATATTTTCCACTTTGTTCTCGTCTAGAACCTTAGCTTATAAGTGTGTGTTGGGTGATGTTGTTGATAATAAGTATTCCTTGTAGTGCAGGTTATTCAACGTTCACGAGGAAAATGTACAATTTTATTTAAGTTTAGTAAGTAACAGGGGCAACAAAGTCTGGTTTCTAATACTCTATGATGCACCAAGTGAGCAATAACCTGTGAGGACTGTTTAGTTTCACTCTTATCAGATCACGACCCAAGGCATCTGATCTGTACGACCAATCTTCTCTTCTTAATGCCACACGTGACTTCTTTTTTAGTCGTTATCTAATTTAATTAAATATAAATTCCTGTAATAGCTGGCAACCCCAAAACAGATGACTGGCAACCCATGGCATATGACTGACAACTCTATTATAATGACTGGCAAACCATAACATATGACTGGCAACCCCAAGACAGATGACTGGCAACCTTAAGATAGTGGATTTCTGGCCCACAGGCTCCATGGCCTTGATGTAATGGTCACCTGGCCCACAGGCTCCATGGCCTTAATATAGTGGCCACCTGTCCTACAGGCTCCATGACAGATGACTAGCAAGTTTGGCAACCCCATAGGGGTTTGCTGTACTGGTCGGCCCCCAAGCTCAAAAAGTTGAACCCCTTCGTTAAAAACAACTATAAATAAGGAGGAGCGGATGGGGAGGCCCGGCCTGAGCGTAACCACAGTTTTAACATACAGCTGAAATTTAGCCTTTTTTTGTATGTGCAGTTAATTATGTCTAACTATAGTGAAGTGGATATAGCGTAGAAGATAGTGAAGACGATATTGTAGGCGACAGTGTGGTGGATGTAGTGGAGGTGACAATGGGGTGGATGTAGTGTAGGTGATAGTGTAGTGGATAGTGTAGGATGATAGTGTAGTGGATGTAGTGTAGGTGATAGTGTAGTGGATGTAGTGTCGGTGATAGTGTGGTGGATGAAGCGTAATTATGGTGCAGTGCAGTGGATGTAATGCAGATAGTGGAGAGGATGTAGTGTAAGTAATAGTGTAGAGACGGTCATACTGTATGAGCTGCTCCTCAAAAATAAACCAGAGCAATGCCGAGTACCCCAGCTACTACGACGACTACTACTACTACTACTACTACTACTACTACTACTAATAATAATAATAATAATAATAATAATAATAATAATAACAATAATACAACAACAATAATAATAATAATAACAAAAATACAACAATAATAATAATAATAATAATAATAATAATAATAATAATAATAATAATAATAATAATAATAATAATAATAATGTGAGGCACAGGTAACTGAGGTGGTGTTGCTTGGTCAACAGACGAGCCGAGCACCCACTTCGCTATCAATAACAACGGGGAGATCACGGTGTTGGATGATGACTTAAAACCCGACACCTACAACCTGATAGCTGTGGCTACCGTGGACGACCCACCATTGAAGGACAAGGCGAAGGTGATGGGAGTCTTGGATCTTAATGGGGGCAAGGCAGAAGTGTGGTTTGGGTGAGGGACACTTACTGGTAGTGACTGGAACCATGTTACGGGTAGTGATTTGAAGTACTGTATATCGGGAGTAGTCAGTGGGAGTATGTTGGAAACAGTGTGTAGTAGTATGTTAAGTCAATAATTAGAAGTATGTTGTGGGTAAATAGAGGTATACTGAGGGTACTGATGAGTATGTTGGAGCATTGATTACGAATATGTGGGGCATTAACTGAACGTATGTTAGGAGCACTACTGTAAGTGGGAGTATGTTTGGAGTAGCTAGTGATGGGAGTATACTGAGGGTAGTAATTGGGTTAGCAAGTTTGTCTTTTTTTTCTTATAATATACCATAAAAGTGATGGCATGACAAGTTATGACTAAATCCAGGTGAACATCAAAGTGCTACCATCATCAATCAATGTGATGATGACAAACAGCCTCCTGACGGCAAAAGTGGAGGAGCGCAGCAGCGAGCAGGCCCTGGTCAATGTTACAACCTCTGGGGACACTGGCACCGTCTGCATCACCGATGTCCAGCCCAAAACTGCCGAAGGTGAGACCAATAAACCCAGTACCCCACTACTTAAAGAGGAATTCTAGCGGATTGCCTGTGAAGATTAAAAGATACTCAGTGTTTGTATACCTTGCACGTATTCACTAGCTTCAGGGCGATTCACATTTACTGCCACGTGTCCGTTCCGTCGCGGACCGTCAACGTTCCGTCAAAACTGCCCTGTATTCTCACTGACGAATAGACATTGCAGGAAACTTGAAACTCGCAGCGATTACACTATTATTGGATGAAGAAGAGGAGGGAAAAGATTTCGTGATAAAAAGAAGAGAGTGGTGGGCTCACAAAGGCTTGAGAAACAGAAAAATAGAAACGGAAACATGACGGTAAAAGTGAATCGGCCTCAGACGACAAGAGTTGTCACCCCCCAAAAAAGAATACTGTACCCCCCAAAAATAGCTGTGGCAAGTTTAGTCATGTTTTCGGGATACCTGTAGAAGCACCTTAGAGTGGAATATTTTTAGTTAAGACGAGAGGAACAGAGACAGGAAATACTCCTGATGCCCCTGACCTATGACGGGGTATGATAAACATATAAAAGTAGAGGTTGAAAATACATAAGTAAATGAAATATACACACACATATATACATAAACGAATATGAAAATTTGATACATACAAATGTATGTATCAAATATGCACTCATAGATCACGTACACAGCAAAATACGCAAAGGATAACTAAAACGCAACACTGAAATTTTTATTACCAGGCAAATTCGATATCCAAGGGAAAGGCAACGACTGGGCAGTCATCATGAAGGAGATGCTGAACTTTGACGTGGAACATCAGGAAATCAAACTGAAACTTGAGGCGTATGAAGACGTAATAAATTGCTCCCCTATTGGCACCACCGGCGACGAGTTACTAAGGTGAGGTGTTGATCAGGGCGAGACAGGTGTGAGCGTGAAAAAGTAAACACATTCTTCTCTTAACGGTAATGTAAATCAGTAGTAGTTTCTCCGAAGCTATACAATAAATGAAGTATTGTTTGTTGTTTACATCATCACAAAAATAGATGAAGTATTGTTTGTGGTTTGATTATCGTTACAAAAACAATATGAGGTTGGGGTTACAATACACCCCTCGTCCTTATATTGTGTTCTATGACCTTTGCTAATGATTTACGATTCAAAGTTAACTGGGGGACAGAACTTCTTATACAGTGTGTATAATATAATATGTAAAGTGATGTATAACTGAATATCCAAAATCTATCCATTCCCGATACATCTATTACACAAGGTCTTTTCTGAGGTGGGTGTGAACTTTGACCACCAAAACCCAAAGAGGTGTAGAATTTTCTTTACGGGTATATGGTTAACATAATCCATCAAGTACTCAGGTATTTTACGCTGTACAAACAAATAAACAGAAGGATTTGTTGTATACTCATTCCCTCCCCACTTTTCACGTTAATACCGAGTGGAGAGTAAAATCCACCAATGGTAACTGTATCTACTATAGGTACAAGGATATACAAGTTTAATTTTAATTGTAATCCTAAGCTAAATCACCTCAGTTATAGAGAACAGGGTTTTAGTTATTTTTCTGTTGGAAACCTGAAACAAAGATTCAGTTTCAAATGTATGAAAACTTATCACCTTTAACCTAACCTGACCTGACCTGACCTAACCTTTTCTTCCTTAAAATGAAAACCCAATACCAATATAGGAGACAACTCGAGGTATCATCTGTAAGTAACCTATGCATGCCGCCTCCCTCCATTTGTTTTCTTTTTGTTATCATAATAAAACTGACTCGTCCATCAGGAACCAGGCTCTAGTGGTCATCACGGTACTTGACATCAACGACCAGAAGCCGTACTTCATCGTGCCTAACAGCGACATGAAGGTCATCGCCTACCCAAACGACAAGGCCCTTCAGAGTGTGGTGGGCCCAGTCATTACTCTACAGGTAAGGTCGAGTCTACGGTCTATAGTAACGATATACAGTGCCCGGTCCACAGATACAGTGTGTAGTAATATGTACGGTCAGGTCTCTAGTTATGCAAACTTCCACAAGACTGTCAAACAAACTTCCACAAGTCTGTCATGTAAACTTTCACAAGTCTGTCGTGCAAACGTTCGCAAGGCTGTCATGTAAACTTCTACAAGGCTGTCATGCAAACTTCCACAAGGCTGTCATGTAAACTTCCATAAGTCTGTCATGTAAACTTTCACAAGTCTGTCGTGCAAACGTCCGAAAGGTTGTCATGCAAACTTCCACGAGGCTGTCATGCAAACGTTCGCAAGGCTGTCATGTAAACTTCTACAAGGCTGTCATGCAAACTTCCACAAGGCTGTCATGTAAACTTCCATAAGTCTGTCATGTAAACTTTCACAAGTCTGTCGTGCAAACGTCCGAAAGGTTGTCATGCAAACTTCCACGAGGCTGTCATGCAAACGTTCGCAAGGCTGTCATGTAAACTTCTACAAGGCTGTCATGCAAACTTCCACAAGGCTGTCATGTAAACTTCCACAAGGCTGTCAAATAAAATTCAACAAGGCTGTCAAATAAACTTCCACATTCTGTCATGCAAACGTCCGCAAGGCTGTCATGCAAACTTCCCCAAGGCTGTCATGCATACTTCCGCAAGGCTGTCATGTAAACTTCCACAAGGCTGTCATGCAAACTTCTACATGGCTGTCATGCAAACTCCTGCAAGGCTGTCATGCAAGCTTCCGCAAGACAGACATGCAAACTTCTGCAAGGCTGTCATGCAAGCTTCGGCAAGATAGTCATGCAAACTTCTACAAGGCTGTCATGCAAACTTCCGTAAGGGAAGTTGTCAAATCCTCCAGTTTCCGTCTCCACCTCCACCGCCGACTCAAGTCCCTCGGAGTTCCTGCACCCGAGCTCCTCAGTGTTTACTCAACATTCATACTTCCCAAACTCACCTATGCCTCCCCTACCTGGTCTTCCTCCCTAAATGCCACACAACGTAAACACCTAGAAAAAGTGCAAAAGAGGGCATGCAAGATTATTCTTTCCCCTTCCTACTCCACATACCAAGAAGAGCTCAACACACTGACCCTCTCGGCGCTCACTGACCATCACCACGACCTCATCTGCAAATTTGGTGAGAAGCTTCTGCACCATCCTCGGTACCGGCTCCTACTACCACCTAAGATCCCTCGCCCGAGAATTGCTGTTCGACACCACAACCGCATCCAGCCCATACGAGCACGAACTGATCGCTATAAGAACAGCCCAGTCCCAACCATTGTAAAAATTATCAATAACTCGTAATCAACCAGTGTATTCACTCCCAGTCAATCTTACTTTTTGCACTGTCACTATGTTGAAATGCCCTGTAGTTTGAGCTTCTCCCCCACCTAGTTATTATATATCATATTTGTATCACTTATGTTACTTGTATATTATTTGTAAATTAAGTGACCCATTCCCCAATTATGTAACTGTATATTTTCACCCTTCCGGCTGCCATGCTCTTTCAATAAACCGTTAATTATTATTATTATTATTATTATGGCTATCTTGCAAACTTTTGCAAGGATGTCATGCACGCTTTGGCAAGGATTGCATGCAAGCTCCCACATGGCTGTCAAGCAAACTTCCACAAGACTGTCATCCAAAATTCTGCAAGGCTGTCATGCAAGCTTCGGCAAGACAGTCATGCAAACTCCGGAAGGCTGTCATGCAAACTTCCACAAGGCTGTCATACAAACTTCTGCAAGGCTGTCATGCAAGCTTCCGCATGACAGACATGCAAACTTCTGCAAGGCTGTCATGCAAGCTTCGGCAGGACAGTCATGCAAAATCCGGAAGGCTGTCATGCAAACTTCCACAAGGCTGTCATACAAACTTCTGCAAGACTGTCATGCTAACTTCCACAAGGCTATCATGCAAACTTCTGCAAGGCTTTCTTGCACGTTTCGGCAAGGCTGTCATGCAAACTTCCAAAAGGCTGTCATGCAAACTTTCCCAAGGCTGTCATGTAACTTCTACAAGACAGGCATGCAAACTTCGGCAAGGCTATTATGCAAACTTCCGCAAGGCTGTCATGCAAAATCCGCAAGGCTGTCATGCAAAATTCCATAAGGCTGTCAACCAAACTTCCGCAAGGCTGTCATGCAAACTTCCACAAGGCTGCCATGCAAACTTCAAGGCTAAATCAACATATAACGAGGAACCAAATGTGTCTGGTAAGCATAGAACGATTCGTAAGGTGTAACATATATGCACGGGCATTTCTTAGAACAATTGGTAACTCTCATCTCAAGAACCAAGCAAGAAGCATTTAAAGACACGTAAGCAGTAACCAAAGTAGAGTTACAATAACACTACACTACCTGTAACTACAATAACACTACACTACCAGTAAGTGCAATAACACTACACTACCAGTAAGTGCAATAACACTGCACTACCAATAACTACAATAACACTACATATCCAGTAACTACAATAACACTACACTACCAGTGACCACAATTACACTACACTACCAGTAAATGCAATTACACTACACTACACTACACTACCAGTAAGTGCAGTTACACTACACTACCAGTAATAACACCACACTACCAGTAACTACAATAACACCATACTACCAGTAATTACGTAAGTGTATTAAACTAACTAAAAATAGCACAAATTAAACAAATGGCCGAAAAATTATCAGCTGCAGAGTCAATGAGGTTCTGGACGAATGTGTGTTGGATGCAGGTCGCGGTGTTCTGGACGAATGTGTGTTGGATGCAGGTCGGGGTGTTCTGGACGAGTGTGTGTGTTGGATGCAGGTCGGGGTGTTGTGGACGAGTGTGTGTTGGATGAAGGTCGCGGTGTTCTGGACGAGTGTGTGTTGGATGAAGGTCGCGGTGTTCTGGACGAGTGTGTGTGTTGGATGCAGGTCGGACGAGTGGTAAAGGATGGCACGGGGTGTTCTGGACGAGTGTGTGTTGATGCAGGTCGCGGTGTTCTGACGAGTGTGTGTTGGATGTAGTTGGTCGGGGGTGTTCTGACGGAGTGTGTGTTGGATGCAGGTCGCGTGTGTTCTGGACGAGTGTGTGTGTTGATGAAGGTCGGGGGGTGTTCTGGACGAGTGTAAGGATGCAGGTCGGGGGTGTTCTGGACGAGTGTGTGTTGGATGCAGGTCGGGGTGTTCTGGACGAGTGTGTGTTGGATGAAGGTCGGGGGTGTTCTGACGAGGGTGTGTTGATGAAGGTCGGGTGTTCTGGGACGAGTGTGTGTTGATGCAGGGTGTTGTGGACGAGTGTGTGTTGATGCAGGTCGGGGTGTTCCTGACGAGTGTGTGTTGATGAAGGTCGCAGGTTCCTGGACGAGTGTGTGTTGGATGAAGGTCGCGGTGTTCTGGACGAGTGTGTGTTGGATGCAGGTCAAAATTCTGGACGAGTGTGTTGATGGCAGGTCGCGGTGTTCTGGAGAGGTGTTGATGAAGGTCGGGGTGTTGTGACTTAAAATGTGCGTTGGATGAAGGCCGGGGTGTTCTGACGAGTGTGTGTTGATGCAGGTCGGGGGTGTTGTGGACGAGTGTGTGTTGGATGCAGGTCGGGGTGTTGTGGACGAGTGTGTGTTGGATGAAGGTCGGGGTGTTCTGGACGAGTGTGTGTTGGATGAAGGTCGCGGTGTTCTGGACGAGTGTGTGTGTTGGATGAAGGTCGCGGTGTTGTGGACGAGTGTGTGTTGGATGCAGGTCGGGGTGTTGTGGACGAGTGTGTGTTGGATGAAGGTCGGGGTGTTCTGGACGAGTGTGTGTTGGATGAAGGTCGCGGTGTTCTGGACGAGTGTGTGTGTTGGATGAAGGTCGCGGTGTTCTGGACGAGTGTGTGTTGGATGAAGGTCGGGGTGCAGTGAAGAGTCGGTCAGGGAAGGTGTTTACTAACAGGTAGTAACTCCATATAAAAACTTTCCACCACAGGCTAAAGATGACGATACAGTGGGCGTCCTGACGTATGGTCTCGTACAATCCAATGGCGGCTTTACGGTGGAGAAAGAGACGGGCGCCGTTTACGTCGAGGGACAGTTTGATTGTTCCTCCAAGTGCGACCTCCATGTCAAGGTCACCGACGGAAAGGCGAATACAGAAGCCAGTATCAAGGTATGGACACTTCCCCTACAACAAACCAGTATCAAGGTAATGGACACTTCCCCTACAACAAACCAGTATCAAGGTATGGACACTTCCCCTACAACAAACCAGTATCAAGGTATGGACACTTCCCCTACAACAACCAGTATCAAGGTATGGACACTTCCCCTACAACAAACCAGTATCAAGGTATGGACACTTCCCCTACAACAAACCAGTATCAAGGTATACAACAAACCAGTATCAAGGTATGGACACTTCCACCTACAACAAACCAGTATCAAGGTATGGACACTTCCCCTACAACAACCAGTATCAAGGTATGGACACTTCCCCTACAACAACCAGTATCAAAGAATAAATGCGAGTAATTTTGCACTTAAATACATCACACTTCCTTCACATATCGACAGAAGAACAGTATTTACCATTCTCCGATTACTCTACTGCCGCCACAGGTATTTTTACTATCTACATAAAAGTCACACAGGCAGGAGTAGGTCCAGGGATGGGTCAGCAGCTGAATTAAGCCAAACATGAGAGAGAGAGAGAGAGAGAGAGAGAGAGAGAGAGAGAGAGAGAGAGAGAGACAGAGAGAGAGAGAGAGAGAGAGAGAGAGAGAGAGAGAGAGAGAGAGAGAGAGAGAGAGAGAGAGAGAGATCCGTCACGTGCGAGAAAAAACTCGTATCAGTCAACTGAGCTCAGGAACGGGAGTGGATCCGTTCTGGTTTATTTGAAGATGTGATTATCAAAATTTCTAACAACTGGGAACCATGGTCTCTGTCTCTCAGTAAAAATCAATATAAACTTTGCGTGTGTGTGTGTGTGTACAAAGTAAGATTCTGGACGGGGTTTGGACCGTAGACCTTCAGTAGTGAGTTTGACCTTTGACCCATTCTGTAGTGATGATACACATTCACGGGAAAGTTCACCAAAACACCTGCAGAGACACAGTTATATCGCGACGAGGTTATGACTTTTGACCTTCCTCTGACCTTGACCTTTGACGTAGAGTATTGATATATTGGTCGTCTGTACATCTACGAAAAATTTCTATTAGACCAGTCAAGCTCTACCAGAAATGTGACGGGCGGATGGACGGAAAACCAACGTATTATAATCCCCTGATTTTGGTGGAGCATAGTAAGTGAATATTACACAGCAACACATGTTCTTGCCGCTGCCATACACTCCTACAGTCTCCACCAGTTTTGCCGAGGGCTTGAATAAATAATGATCCAAGAAAACATCAGGATTTGCATGTTACATTACAAACATCGTCCTTAAAAAGCTTAATTCATCGGCCTTTATAACACGTACTGAGAGGAAAATTACTCGTAGTTTGTAGTTGAAGAATATTATTAATCGTCAACAAATCTGTAAGAAAACGCATTAATGTAAAACAACAAACATTGGTAATTCATCCGGTTACACGTGTTTACTGCCGTTACTGAAGCGGTGCCGCAGGTTGAAGGAAGTTTTGACTGACAGTATATCCACTAAGTTTCCTGCGGCTGATTGAAACAAAATACACCACATAATGACATTTACCTGACTGATCGCCAGTGTCACCCATCTGGAACTCGGGTTTCCTAAAAATGTATACTTTCATTTATAACACAAAGAAAACTATTAGTTTCTATGAGTTATTTTTACTTATGAGGATTTTCAGTTAAAGAAAACCATGTTGTCTTGGATCGATCTGTAAATCATGTTGCTTGGAGCGATACTATTATGTAACTCACTCTTAACAAGTGTCGGCATCCCATAATTTACACATGAATATCTTAAGTGCTAAATGCATTGTTCTAGCTTTTTCTGTTTATATACAGTGATAGCACCAGTGATGATAATAACAATAATAATAATAATAATAATAATAATAATAATAATAATAATAATAATAATAATAAATACAGTAAATATCATAGTAATAATAATATTAAAAGCTGTAATAGTAATAGAATAAAGAACTGGATGAGTTGGGTTAAAATTTCAAGATTTAAATCGGAGACGTGCAATTTTCAACACATTGTTGAGATATATTTTTAAGAACCTCCTGAAGATACAGTTTTTAACTCACCTTATAAGACTTTGTTTTTAACACAGCCTAAGAACATAATTTTAAAACACCGTTATGATAAACTCTTTAACATATCTTTAAGATATATAGTTTTTAACACACTTAAGAAATAGTATACATGACCATTAGTGCTGTAATTTTCTGGTCACTTCTGACGTCATTTCCTTTACAAAAGACAGGTAGTCTACAGGTAATACATAAAGGTAAATCTCATCTACATAATTATCTTCTTGGTGTATTTACTCTGTGTCCCATAACAACACGTGCATCTATGTCTTTACAGTGGTCTTTGATGGACATTCAAACACTCACAAATAAAAGAAAATTAACATAGGACTGAAACTAAGCATATATGTTTTTTCTCTACGTGTAAAATAATTTCTAATTATATTTATTCACACACTTTGGGAAGACGTAGCAGTTAAAAAAAAATTCTAGCATAAGTGAATAATGTATTGTAATTTGTATTCCTAGTAAACATTTCACCCGTGAAGCCAAATTCAGCAATGATTCAAACCAACATAAAAATGATACTATTTTTTTCTTAAGTCAATATTCATTAGCCCTTCACAGCCAATGACAGTACAAAACCTCCTACAGGCAATCTCAGTGGACATGACCCACATCTATACCCTCACCCTTAACGACCTGGACGTGACGGAGGTGGACGACTACTTGAAGACCATTTCCAAAGAGTCTAGTGTTCAGGTCTCCAAACTGTATGTAAGTCCCATCATGGACACGGTGAGGTCACAGAGGGCCAGGACTAGACGCACCATAAGGAAGAGGGACACCAGCGAGGAGGGGAGGACACTGCAGGTCCATGTGTACGGCATTGACAAAGATGGTGAACTTATGACTTTAGATGACTTAAATAAGTAAGTTGTATTATTGTTGATGAGAGAGAGAGAGAGAGAGAGAGAGAGAGAGAGAGAGAGAGAGAGAGAGAGAGAGAGAGAGATCATTTTCACACATCACCGAGTCCTCCCTCACACCTTTTCTCATACACTTACCACATATGCTTCAACCATGACTCACACATACCCATTAATTTTACACTTAGCCCATCACCCATCACACTCACAATCATCACTTGCACATATATCCTTCATTCATCATTCACACATACATATCATTCGCCACTTTAACAAATACCCATCACATCATCATCATCATACATTTCAATCATTCATTACGCTTTTCCATTCCTATGACGCATCACAAACATACAAACACCCATCAAACACACACACACACACACCTCCAACATTTACAAGACCTCCCTCAGAATAACACAGGAGTGGTGTCAACAAGCGTCAGTGTGATGTTTGTAGCAAGACAGTGACTTACTGTACGTGTGAGGGAGGTGAGGTTGTCTGGTCTGGAGCGGCAAGGTCCTCATATCCTTGGCCAATATTTCGACATTCCTCTTTCATCCTAGTATACGATCCACATTCTAGGTTGCTCTCCACATTCTAAGATACTATTCACGTCCAAAGTTGCTATCCATACCCTAGTTTGTTATCCACATCCTGGGATATAGTCCATACCTTACGACACTATCCACATCCTATAATAACATCCACAAGGGTCTCCCACACGCGAGCAAAACGTGTCTCCAGCACATCCACCCAGAGTCACCCTCCAGGGTACACTCCCTCCTCCACCATTGAAACTCCTCCCTCTCCCAACATCCCTCCCTCCCTCCTCCCAATGAACTATTCCCTCCACTAAACTAGTGACCCATCCCTCTCTTCCGTCTCCCCCACACTATTGATCCTTCAGTATACAGTATTTACACAGATTGATCGAAAATTCTCTGTGTACCTGCAATGTTTAACATAATAGTACTTCCTTGTTTTACCTACGTTGTTACATAATTTATTCTACTTACAGTAAATACTGGAAATGGTACCCATTTAAACTTTTACTGTGACCATATCCAACATTTACTGTAAGTAGAACTACTGTAGGTAAATAATTACAGAAGAGTTAATTACTGAAGGTGCCCAGGGAATATTCGGTCACCCTGTATATATTAGACTCAAACACCGAAGTCGCTCATTGAGCGAGAAAAAAAAAACTACCACAAGCCGTTGTGGTGTTCTTTTCGTTCAGGACGCGAATTCGCTGTTTGAATCTAACATATAAACAAATGCGTGCGTGTGTACCTAGACCCACCATGGCCTCGTATCACTCACCACCTAATGGATAGTGCTGAGTAGCCACGACCTTTTTACCGACTGGAGAAACTACCCAATCGCACACACGCTAACACACACACTAAAATGTATAATAAAAACCAGCATACTGACCCCAAAAATTTCACAGCAAGTTATATATATATATATATATATATATATATATATATATATATATATATATATATATATATATATATATATATATATCGGTTAACACCTGTACTCCCTACCATCTCTCTCCGCCAGGGCACTCTCTCAGGGACACACCAACGTGAAAGCCCAGACGTTCTCGGACAAGGAGGTGTTCCAGGGGGGCGGCACTGTGATCACCCCTGACACGGGGCTAAAGGTGGCCGTGGGTATATTGGGGGCCATTGTAGGCCTTGCTGTAGTTGCCATCGTTGGCTACTTCGCCTACCAGAGATATCCAAGGTAAAAAGAGAGAGAGAGAGAGAGAGAGAGAGAGAGAGAGAGAGAGAGAGAGAGAGAGAGAGAGAGAGAGAGAGAGAGAGAGAGAGAGAGAGAGAGAGAGAGAGAGAGAGAGATATGACTTAATTTACGCACGACTGAATTTGTCTCGTGATATATCAAAATAATGCAGCTCAATAATTAGAATACATTTGTATTAATCTTCTAATTTGGTTACATATAGTATTAATAAATTTGTTACTTTCGTAAGAACTACAGGTCTTACAGTATATTTTCTTCCTTATATCTCTATTATATATTACCGGGTATGTGTGTGTCAAGAATACTTTCACCCAGGAACCTGGTGGTTGATGTTGTATGTACGGTGCTAGTTTTGTATGGGTCAAGTATGATTTTTTAAATCCTTCGATTTAATCTATCAAAATATGCATCTATGATTATATGTAATTACTATACTGCATATATATATATATATATATATATATATATATATATATATATATATATATATATATATATATATATATATATATATATATATATATATATATATATATATATATATATATATATATATATATATATATATCTATATATATATATATATATATGATTTTTTTCTTTTCTTTATTCAAGACATCAGTTGCCTCTGAAGATGTCTTGAATAAAGACGAAAGCTAAGGTAAGTTGTTTCCATTTTCCCGTGTGATTTTATCAAGATTTATCTTATCCACGTTTTCATTGTGGATTTACATGAATATATATATATATATATATATATATATATATATATATATATATATATATATATATATATATATATATATATATATATATATATTACAGGTAATATCGCGAAATATGATTGGTGCAGTTTGAGTGATTTCGATAAAATATTCACAAGAGAATTTACAGTAAAATAATTCTGAATGTTTAATGTATTAAAAAGTGAAATCTCCTTATGGTAGCTTCTCTCGTTTGCGTTTCAGCTTTGTGTAGAAATTCTCTCAAAATTAATAAACTGAATCGTGTGGTAATGAATCGTGTGGTACCGTGGTAACCATCTTCGGAGTATTTTGACTACAAGTGTGTCCGGAGCACACAAGTTACTCGCTCTGAGTTAAACGTAATGGTTAACGAAAAGGGTCATTGAAGATTTATTCCATAGGTCAAAAGCACTTGCCGTAACACTCTCTCACTAAGCATTATTATTTGCAAAACAGTTTCGTCAAATGTTCGTGAAAGGTCAGGTTGTTCGACATTGTTTTACATATCTCATTCTGTAGTCATTTACTGGAACTGTAGAACAGCATGACCAATCATTACATTTACACCCATTTAATATCATCCAGGAAACCAGAAGCAAGAATGACGAAGAGGGCGTCTAGTCCCATCCCCACGCTCGGGCAAGCGTACCCCAACCTCTCCTACAGCGAGGAAATCGAAGGGTAAGGAACAAAAGAATTGTTGAAACCTTATTGACAACCTATCCTTTAAAAAGTGATAAAATTATAATGTAGTTTACGGGTATATTACGTTACTGAAGACAAACACACAGCACGAGTACTTGTAGCGACTTGTGGTGCTGTCTAGTTGAACACGTTAGCTTGTCTTAACACATTTTTCCTGTATTTTAATTTTATATCCACGTCTTCGTTCTGCATTTTAAACTCTGATCTCTTTCTGCATGAGAGAATAGGAGTTTTAAAACACATTTCTTCACAACTGCCCTTTGCTTGTCACCTCAATCAGTGTCTCTTACAGTAAGGACGAGTCTCCAGGGTCCACCGGCCATAAGACAAACGGTTCTGTGAATAGTACGAGCAACGGGTACAGCCACAGAGAATCTCCGCCTCTCTTCAGAAGCAACCTCTCCTCTCACAGCAGCGACCCACACAATTCCATCTCTAAGTAGGTACTTCCTCCATCTTTAACTTACAATAGAAGACAAGTGATTCACATCTCTATCTGCACTAGCCGAAAACTTACCTGCAATGACATAGGACTTGCCTGCATTGACCAAGGACTTCCCTGCAATGCATTGGTCAAGGACTTACCTGTATTGACCAGGGACTTAACTGTAAAGACCAAAGACTTACCTGCAATGACCTAGGGCTTACCTGTATTGACCAAGGAGTTACCTGCAATGACCTAGGACTTACCTGCAATAAACAAAGAATAATCTATAATGACTAAACATTCCTCTGTAATTTACCGAGATTCTTTTTATCAATCAATCTTTAAGTCCCACTGAAACCCACATTGAGAAGACTTAAGACCCCCCCCCCCACACCCAGGATCCCCGAAGTCGCTCCTAAGGTTAAGTTTCCTGCCAAATGACATTCGCTAAAGGATAGGTTAGTGTGGCAGGAGCAATAAAGCTCATAAGAAAATTACTGACACACACACACACACATTTATGAATGCATACATATACATAAAGAGATTTACACACACAAGTATTTAAAAAAAACATATGCATGTATATAATCATTAAGTTATATATATATTACTTCCCCGAATATACACGTATACCTTAAGCCTAAATTTTCAGGCTCACCTCATAACTTTTACCTAAATTTTCCCGCTAATATAATTTCTTTAACCTAAATTTCTAGCTCTTCTCGTGCCTTTCACCAAACACTTCCAGGTTATGCCAATGTTCAGTGTCACCTGTCGTCTTTAACTTAAACTCTTCAGCTAATCTAAATACATTCTCCAAGTCACCTGTCGCCGTTGACCTGAAAATTAACTGTTCATTTGAAAAACAACCTCCTCATCTAATTTTATTTATCTTAAACTCTGCAGGCCATCTAAAGCCTTTCTGTGTGCATCTGTTGCCGTGACCCAAATAATCCCCCAGCTCATTAATGCCCTCTACCCAAAATTCTTCTTAACATAAATCTCCTGATCATCTCATGCATTGTACCTAAAGCACCTGTACCTTTCCTCCCTACGAAAACATTGTCTCGCGTATTCCTTCAGGAGCGAGCAGCAGCAGCGAGGGTTAAGACGGGTCGACCCTGGCTCTCCCGAGTACTATGGCCTCTCTTCACCAGCGCCTCCGCCTTCCTTCTCCACGAACGACAACACTACCACCACTGGCTCCACCTCTACCACTACTACTACCACTACATCCTCTCCTCCTGACACCTTCAGCACTGCATCTTCCTCCTCTTCGACCAAACCACCTGCGCCAAATTTATACCCAACTCTCGAGACTATCCAGGAACAGTCTCCCATCTACGCCATGATCAACAAGCCGCCGAAAAAGGAACCACCATCTATACCTACGACGCCAGCTAAGTCCATCCTGAAGAGCAGTGGTGAACCCAGTGATCACATGTCCACAACTGCCCTTCCTCCCACCCAGGTGAGAGTGATAGATGAAACTGACTATATAAATATATATATAGAGAGAGAGAGAGAGAGAGAGAGAGAGAGAGAGAGAGAGAGAGAGAGAGAGAGAGAGAGAGAGAGAGAGAGAGAGAGAGAGAGAGAGAGAGAGAGAGAGAGAGAGAGAGAGAGAGAGAGAGAGAGATGCTAACTAGGTGTAACACATGGGTTTACGATAGACAAAAATAAACACTTACAATTTCTCCAACAAGTGATTACATCGTCTGTCGGCATCTCTACACTGTTGATGTGAACAATATAAAGGACAAGTGTAGAAGAAAACGAAACAGCGAAACACACGTATAGTATTAAATGCGATGCACGCCAGTAAACATATACAATGGTGCATTACAGTGTACTTATGATACACATCACAGCATACACTATCAATACATGTACGCACAACTGTAGGTGTACACTTTAGAAGACGCCAAAATACATCAATATACTCTTAAGCATATTCTTTGGTATCAGACATCAACGCTCAATTTCCTTTGGAAGTCATACATAAGGTACAATATACTCCCCTAAAGGCCTCATGAGCCGACCATGTCCTACTGAGACTATATCACCGTCGAAAGCTTCTAAAATCTTCAAACAGCTTTTTTCAACTAAACTGTATCATTAGTCTTGCATTTGTGATTTATTTTTAATTTGAATTTTCATAGTTATTCAACATATCTCTGTTAAATATTTGGAGATTAATCAATATGGATATCAATACAAAATTGGGGCATTTTATTTGATAAGAGAAACGTTTAATTTAATGATCTGGTCAAATTGTTGAAGTGTGTGTATGAATAACATCTCACAAATAATCAAGAAAGATTTATAATACGTTTACAGGGAAGAGTATACAAGCTATTTTATTTTATACATTCACCTAAACCATAGAAAGTCTGTGGGGTGGTAACCGAGATATACAATAATGAGTAAAAATCTAATGAGCAGTGACTGTAGCAAGTGACGTGCCTATTGAAACAGTAATAGTGCCGCAAGTGAAGCTGCTTGGAGACGTGACACCGCTACAGATACGTGTAAAAGTAGCAGAAGGATACAAATACAAGATAATAATAATAATACCCCTGGCGGACGACCACACGAATAGAACCTTTGACCGCACCAAAAACTTACTTCTCAAACCATGCAACCACAACTCCACCCACGTTATCAAATTAGAGCATAAAGCAACAAATGACAATCAGATTCCTTAAAACTGGACCTATATGTCAATTATCATACAAAAAATATTATTTATATGGAATCCGACACTCCATGACAGTATCCAAAACGTAAATAGTGTAAGTCTCGAACGACATGACACCTTATGTGAACGTGTGTCATGGTGAGCATTAATCGCCTTGTTACTAAATATACACACAACCTGAAGTAAATAACGACTGACGGAACATTTTCTTATAATAACAGTCAAACTTACGTCATAGGTCCTAAAACACACAAACTCTGCAGGACTTAAGAAGTTACGAGAATCAGCAAGGCGTCTTTTGTCTGTCCTGATGACCGCAAGTATTAAGACAAGATCTATCCCGGCCTCCTTGTGACTATATTGTGGTTAGTTTATGACTCCACGCCACCACACAGTGATAATAATTGTATGCCAACCCAAACGAGGTTCTACAAATTTCAACCAAAGTGAAGTCCCACGTCCAAAACAAACTTTGAAGTTAATTCCACAAGGTTCTAACACAACAAAACATGGAGTTCCAACACTACAGAGGTTCCACAAGGTTCGTCTACCAAAAACAACACTAGGGGTCAAGATTCAACCACCAAAAACACACACACAAGACTTCACGAGGTTCAACCACCAAACAGAGCTCAATAGTTCGATGACCAAGCAACTCGAGATTCATAGTGGTTCAATTCCCAACCAACACCGAGGTCCTCGATAGTTCAACCTGCTACCATATCAGACCACATACAACTGTAGGCCACGCAACTCTCTTTCTTAATATGTACTTTTAGAGCGTTAGAAAGGTTAATTGTGCCCGGAATGACTGACATTTATCATAAATTTTTATTCTTAAGTCCAGAAATTATATTACCTTTAATTTTTTTTTCTCACTAATTACTATCGTTTAATAGGTATAGAAAACGAGCGTACATAGACTATAACTAACTGGTAATTAAGGTAAGCCTGTATTGGTGATTTTACTGCAATATATTTCCAAGGGCAAGTATGTGTACTGTATATGTGTGTGTGTGTGTGTGTGTGTGTGTGTGTGTGTGTGTTATCGGCGTAAATATATGTTTGTGTAAGAACAGCGTCTCTGTGAATGAGTATATGTGTACGTAACTGTGTATGGGCATGTATCTTTCTTCATTTGTGTAAAAGACGCTCCGAATTCAATGATACTGGTATGATTCTCACGTGTCTGTGCTGTGCATGTAGAGGTTTACGTACTGTACGTGTCTAGGTACGTATGTCTTGCATGCGTAAACGTGCGTAGCTGTAGGGAGGTGCGGGTGCAAGTATTGCAAGCGTACTTATCATTCATGCACGAGACGCCCTGCATCACCCCTGTCCTCCCTCCCCTTTCACTAGCCCAGTGTGCCTGACGCCGACTACGACGAAATTGACAACGTGCCCCCAGCCTCCAGATTCTCTCACCTCAAAGGGTCGCCTCCCCCACGCAAGCACTCACTACCTATTGATGACGACGATGATGAGGGTGATGATGAAACCGGTACTGAAAATGGCCAGAAGGTTACTTATCCCGGGGGCAAGAAGAGCAATCTTAAGGTATGCTATTGCCTTGACACACAAAGCATACATAGATAAACCACAACACAGGAACATTACACTGTATATATTCCAAATAGAAACAAATAGGAATATCATCAAAAGACAATACAGAATTCTTTATCTTCAATATGAGGTTTTCCTTTTTACTGGGATTAGTTCATGCGTTCTAGATGTAGAGATGAGAGCTTTTGACGGAAGATACAAGGTGGTGTAAGTAGAAGGTAAAGTTAGGAAGTGGAAAGTATAGTGGGAGATTGAAAGTAGGTGGATGGCGAAAAGGAATGCAAAAAAATACTATATACATCAATTAACTATTATCCTACAACAAAACAAAAACAACGAAAATAAAAATAAAAACAAAATAGGACTCATTTTACATTCTTTTTCAACAACTGTGAATATCAAGACTCAATCACGTTCTCCTTAAGAGATCTCAATTCCCAGCCCAACCCCTGGTGTGAGGAGGAATCGTAGCAGCTTGCAGGTGTCTTCCCTCCACCTTGTATTCCTGAGCACGTAATCCTCTCCTTCTTCACACATACACGTATTCTTAGTCTCCAGACAACAGTCTTCCGACCTCTATTTGATGCTGACAAAATTATTTGCCCTTTTTTTCAATCAGCTGCACTTAGATTACATAAACAGTAACGTAAAGGACTAGTGCGTTATAATATTCCAGACTGCGAGAGTTACCCATACAACAACGGCCGAGTTTTCTGTAGAATTCATTTAGACGGGGAGTTCTTATAATTCAACCACACAGGAAGTTCCACCACAAAAACAACTGAAATCTACACAAAGATCGCTCTCGGTACTTCATAAGCCCAAATTTAATACACTAAAATGTAATACATATACACAGTTTCACGCCATGGATCATAAAAATCATGACAGAGGCATAGAAGTCTCCGTGAATTCTACAAGACAACAATAAGTTAAACAGACTACACCTCGTCCAACACTGAAAATGTAAACAAAACTTAAAACAGTATTTCAGTTAATATTATTAGTCTAGAAATGACTAAAGCCCAAACAGCTTAAACCTCCAGTGAATTTGTTTGTTTACGCATACGGTTTGCAGATCTAAAACTTGAAAAAGATTCCTGTGTTTTGTTACATGTCAGATATATATTAAACATGTATTGTTGAGTCCTGACCTACAGTGTGTCACAACCATGCGTTTTACTGTCTAAAGTTTTTGTCTACCATATATATTTAACTTCTTAACCTGCACTTTCTCTCAAAATAGTCACTTGCAGGTAAACATTTATTAATATTCGTTTAACCGGCAGCAAGAGGGAGCGGAGGGAAGCGATGACGAGAAGAAATCGGTGGCCTTCAAGGTGCTGGTAGACACTAAGGAAATCGTGGCCGAGAACCCGGGAGCCGCACAAAAGGCAGCAGCAGTCAAATCCAACGCCATTGAGATGATGATGGCCAACAAGAAGAAGATAGAGGAAGATGAGGACGAAGACGAGGATGAAAGACTTTAGATCAGCTAAAAGTCATACGAGATGATTATGAAGAGAGTAGCTGAAGCGAATGCAAGAAGATGGAAGAGGAACCACTTAGACGAAGATATAATTAAGGCAACTATGGTAACGGTAAATGAAAATGAAGTTATAGACAGGAGAGTGACGATAAAGTTATATATTGCAGTTGGAATAAGCAGCGTTTGTGTTGTGTAGTTGGAAGACAAGTCTCTCCCCAACCTAATATAAGAATATAGTCAATATTTATGGTAATCTTTGAGAATAATATAAAAAAGACTAAATAGCCATGAAATGTAATGCAACGAAAAATGATGAAACTTATCACGAATGCTTACATACCGGAACACGAGACAGATGATGATCGATTATTAATCAACAGGAAAGAGTTGATATTAGGTCATAATTAAAACTAATCGGGGAAAATTCACTATATCCCAGTCACTTGGTGAAAATAAAGCCCTAATCAACAAGGAAGTGATGAGGATGGCGAGTTTAGAGATTGCAATCCGTAAATATAGTGCAGGGCAGGTACACGGACCTGCAGGACTGTGTTGACCAAGGTACCATTTTCACTCATGTGGGGTAACTCTCATATTTGATTACTGTAAATGTTAACTTAAGGAAACGGAGTCTTCCCCGTATAGATATTATATACTACTGAAATACAAGTACATTCCCAGATTGTCTTTTGTTTACAAAATTTTTGTTGTTTCCACTTGTACAGTACTGTACTACAAATTGTACCATGAAGTCCGATGATGTGATGCGACCAATGCAATATCTTTTAAATTTGTAAATTATGATTTCATATAAAATCGAATATATATATATATATATATATATATATATATATATATATATATATATATATATATATATATATATATATATATATATATATATATATATATATATATATATATATATATATATACACACACAGTATATATATATATATATATTCGAGCAAATTCATCATTGGAACAATATCAATATTTCGCTGACACAGATTCAATCTCTTTTTATGGTGATGTAAGGAATGGCAATTACCTTCCCGTCCTAATAGTCATGGCACATGGGCACGAAAATTGGTTAATTGTTCCCCTGACTGAAGTTTCCGATCGCCAGGCATGATGACTGGCTGGTGCACGTGGCACGACGGACGCGCCCTACAGCAGTCGGCGGCGTCGTTCCTCACGAGCCCCAATAGTTTTAACGGGAGAATATTTTGGTGGAAGAGTGACGCGTCAGGTGCTGCCCTCTGCAGGGTGCTGCTGGACACTACATTCCCAGCGCCTGAAAAGCAGTTTTGATTCATAAGTTAGACCAGGGCTGCCAACACCCCCCAGGAACACCCTGCGACGGATGCGGACGCCAAACTTTGCTCTTGTAACTTGAGATCTCAGGACGAAGTTTTCTGAAATACTGAATAAAGCGCTCTTTCTTCTTTATTTTACCTTGACATCATTGAGAAATCTATATAAAATACTAAAGATAAGTAAGCTAAAGCGCAGTTGAACTTGTAATTGTATCCGAGCGATCAGAAAATAGAGAACATGGTAGAGGAAATATCGATCGGTGAGCGCGGTGCACATGGCGTTCGCTCACGCAACCCACAAGGCAAGCGGGTGGGTTGCTTGGGACCTCCCGGGGTGGGGGCGACGTGGGGCCATCTATGATAATATGCTTGCAAACATGATGATACATTACCAAACTTAAAAGCACCCATAATTAATCATAATCTAAGACAGAGAATCACCTGAGCGAGACAATCAATGCATGAGAGGGGATTTTGTGGTCATGCGGGGGGTTGCATGGAGGGGTGGTAGATTTGTGCATGCAGGGATTGACCCAGTGCATGCCGGCAAGCACACCGTTGCATGCGCAGGCAGAGGCGCCGCTGCTCCGGGGTTTTGCGATCAATGTTGTGCCTGGCGTATCTATCACACTTACGGTGGGCGATACTCCAAGATTCTGTGTGTGTCTACAGTGCGTGTCTCAACTAACATGTATTTTGTAAACTGACATCCCCGGCGACCAACCCAGCAAGCACCCCAAGGTAGGTAGTCATGCAGTGGACGGTGGCGTACCGGCGTACCCTGCCTGCCGCACCACGCTGCCGGGACCCATATACTTACTATGTGCAACCCTACTTTATTGACCACCAGCATCCTCTATGTCCATATGCATGTGTGTCACAGCTCCCAAACCCAACCAACCGTGTATATATAAATATATATATATATATATATATATATATATATATATATATATATATATATATATATATATATATATATATATATATATATATATATATATATATATATATAGTGTGTGTACACTTTTTTGTGTAGCTTTGTGGCACGATTTACGTTGTATTCTGTATATATACTACATACCATATATTCCATTTTTTTAGAATGTTTACAATTATTGAAATAGTATGCATGCCGATTAATTATGTTTACCAAAAATATTATGAAAACAATACAATTATTTTTATGATGTTAATGAACAATGTTAATTATCATAATTATCAAAATTAATGATAATTAATCATGATTATTATGATAATCATGAAAGTACAATTTACGATATAATCGTTGTGAACAAAAACATTAAATACCATCAATATTATGAATATGTTTGTCTCATTAATTCTGATTTATAATAATAATTTCGACATAAGTAATATCATCGCTGAAATGGATTAATTGTTTGTTTCTACCGTACAAAACCAAAACTTTCAACTGAACTCTCATTTTAACAAACCAACCAAACGATGTTATATACTGCAATACGTAAAGCGGCCGACTGAGGTTCTTGATTGCTAAGTTTCCCCAAGACGTAGGTTGGGGAGCAGCGAGCAGGTAAGCGTTCTTGTTGTGGGCGCCTGCTGGTTCGGTGTCACAGTTAGAGGCCACAACTAAAGCCGAAAAAAAACTTTGATTCCCCACCCCCGACACTCTTTTTACCAAAACCAGCAGACTGTGTCATTAGTGATAGCTCTCATTCACAAACTGCAGCATCTCAAAACGCTAACTTTCCAGCAAGATCCGAGTCTGGGCTACATTTATTCGAGTAATTAATTATAATAATTAAGTGATGGTAATTTAACATGTATAAAAGTATGTGCGTTAATTTAATGAATGTATTTTATTAATTTTAATCTATAGAAGATACACAAATTACTACATATTGGGCTAAGTAATTGTTGTGGAACTATCCATGACTAAATTGTATGTTTTCAAAAGTGCATGAAAAACGACGATTGAATTTTGTTACAGGAATTTTGTACATTAAATTTCCAAATTAAATCAATATAATTAAAAGGGGGATGAAAAATTATTACTTTAAGGTGAAATCAAACGTCCTATGCTTTGTGCCTGACGGAAATAGCCAAACTGATAACTATTGTGTGTATGAATCTGTACATCTACACTGACCCTTTGTAGAACTGAGACACTTTGTTTTGCACAATATAATAATATATTGGAGATAAAATTTATCATTCCGTTTATGTACCATTATAGAACTAGTTATTATTATCATAATTATCAAACTAATTTTAATTTAAGTTGGAAAATGTTAGTAAAATTTATCCAGTCAACTTTTTATTTTCAATTCGTAAAAAAAAAAAAACCCACCTGAGCTGAGAATTGACCTCAGGCAATCATTCTACCAGCCGAGAAAAAATCCTTTCAGGGAGGGAGGGGAGGGGAGGGGGGGAGGGAGGGAGGGGAGGGAGGAGGAGGGTCGACTAGTGGGAGTATAGACCATTTTTTCTTTTTTTTTTCCACCTAACGAAATGGTGGGTTAAGCCCTTCATGGAGTGGTCCACCTGGACGAGCATAAGCGACCTCTGGCCACACACACTAACTTTTAAGCCCTTTTAGGTTTACGTAGGGTCAAGCACCTGACCAACTCCTGGATTATCCCGGGCTAACAGGGCTCTCGCAAACACCACCACCACCACACCCATTTATTACCCAATGACGCCTCAAACTGATTGCTGGCCAAATACCTGCCCTCTCACGGATCACAACCCATCTGCTGCTCTACCCAATAGGCCATACTGAGACAGGTCACCACATTACTAATTGTTTGTACAGGCCCAAGCAGCGGCCGTACTTGTCATCCTAACATTTCTGTCACGCTGGAAAGTATGCAGCCACAGTTCAAAGATTGGTATGTGCATATTTCCCCCGAACTGAAAACATAACTGGTTCACACAAGAAGTGACATACCGTTGGCGCAGAAATGGCCACTTAAGGGGAAAAGTATCATACAAATCTCTAAGAATTCCGACAGCGGTTTCGTCGAGCTATGAACTGTGCTCGTAAACCTTGAAGCTCCGCAAACCGGAGTCCCTAATGCGTCACACGGCCGCCGCGCCGGGGCAACAACGGCCTCTGTGCCTAGTGCCAATACGGATACGATATACGTAGTATCACGAACGAGAGTTTAAAAACAACACTGCCAACAAGTCCTCCCCCAACCTACACATAATAGACCTTACACAAGAAATGTTAAAGACAGTTGTACTACTGAAGGCAGCACACACACACACACACACACACACACACAGAATTCATAGATAGACAATAGGAAAACTATTTGTCGGAGCGTGAGAACCCCGCTGGCATTTTGGTGGGGAATGTTTATAACAGAGGCACAGATGATGCCAGGATATACTGAAATGTTGCCCCAAATGTGTAGCAGAACACTGCTACAACAACCTATAGGGGTAATGGACTGTATCCTTACACACACACACACACACACACACACACACACACACACACACACACACACACACACACACACACACACACACACACAAACACACTCAACGCGTGTAAACATTTATAAATTATACTTTCACTATATATATCATGTTACCCAAACGATCAATCTCCATACACAGAAACAAACACTTTTAAACAAGTATGTATGCCTGAAACACTGTATCTGTAATCTCTTATAACACCATATAATACAGCTTGATACATCTCTATATGTATACCTTATATATTCTTCTGTACACAACACCCTGTAGCTCTGTCTGTCTCACCTTGCATATGTTTCTTTTTCCCTCACCCTGTACCCATAAATACACCGTCTCACCTAGGCATTGTAAGCCATGCCTCTTTTTGCGTCACTCTGTAATTGTACGCTTTTTTTTTATATATATATTTTTTTTGTGGGGGATTCACAGGCCGTTACTATTCTTTTTGTACCACCCTGTTATTTTATCTTCCTCTCATAGCTTTTAACATTAATTCGTTTATGCCACCTGTAACTGTATTTTCGTATACATCTTTTGTGCTTAACTGTAACCGTATCTTCTTACTACAACCTTTACCTGTATCTCTTATCCTACCTGTAACTGTACATTTTTAGTCCAACCAAATGCGATTACTTCTGCGTCACTTTGTAAATGCATCTTGTCACATCCGGCAACTGTAATTCCCTAGCCACACAGTATTTCATTCCCACTAATAACTTTTCGTTCCCGGTAAACTCTTTTTTTTTTTTAGCTGTATACCTGTAACTTTACTCCCTTATAACTGTAATTAACTATACCTGTAACTTTTATCTCTTATTACTGTAATTAACTATACCTGTAACTTTACTCCCTTATAACTGTAATTAACTATACCTGTAACTTTTATC